ATCTTTCAAATCTCTCTTTCTGTAACTCTCTCTTTGCTTGGTAAATTCTACTTATCCTGGACCGAATCCTTCAAATACCTCAAGCTCATTTCTCCACTGCTCAGGGAGTTTCTCCTACTTTCAATGTGCATCTTTCTACTCCTCAGATTTATTTCTTTCTCTTCCCTAACAAAGAGGCAAAATATCATCCCAAAGCACACGCATTTCCAACTTTCCCATTCTGGTTTGCGGTGTCACTGCTCATCTACAGAATTTAAACAACCATTATAATTTTTTATTAATTTATTTTTTGTACTCCATAATGATACAAAACATGTCTGCCTGCATTACCACTTTTCCCTACCTAAATTTTACATTCATCAAAAAATAATGCAAGAGCAAATGCAACTTATTTTCAATTCAAGGTCTATTTAAACATTGACATCTATTGAAATCATAAGCTTAATAGATAGCTATAGATATATAAGAACTTTAATCTTTCTGTGGGTGTAGAATTTGATTACTAACAATGTACACTGAGCCAATTCAAACTATTTTGATTACTGAAATATATACATCAGTCTCCACCATGTTTATACCCCCAGTAAATGCTGAGTGAAGGGTACAAATAAGATACTTGCTAGGATTTGTTGACATATAGTGTGACTTATGCACTCAAAATCTATCTTGACTTAACGAGTTACCCATGTAATTAATTGTCTTCATACCGGGCATGGCAGCTCACGCCTGTAATCCCAGCACTCAGGAGGCTGTGGCAGCAGGATTGCTGTGAGTTGGAGACCAGCCCAGGCTACAAAGTAAGCTCAAGGCCAGCCTGAACTGCACAGGAGACCCTGCCTCAAAAAGACAAAAAAAAAAAAAAAAAAGTAATTGTTTTCATAAACATGGGTACACACTGAGAGACGCATCAACTGGGATAAACATATTTTTGCTAAAGCAGAGTAATTTTTTAATAAATGGACCTCTGGTGGCTACCAAATATTATAACATGTATATTCATAGTTGCCTTGCACATGAAGCAAGATGTATTTCATATACCTCAGAAAGCAGTACAGAAATAAAATGTTCTAGATTTTGAGGAGATAAAATCTGAGTTTTAAATAAGTTAGACACCTAATTAATACTGTGTCTTTAAATATATGGAAAATTAAGGCAATAAGAAATATAAATACACATGCTTTCACTTAGAAAAATGATCTATGAAAAAATATTACTTTCTGATTGATTCGAGGTTCAGGTAATACAGTAAAATTGATTTATTTTGACTATACAACACACAGCTTTACAGTCAGTTGGAAGATAAGAGATCCTTCCTATAGTCACATTACTCTTAGTATCATGTTAAAAGAACAAGTAGTTCAGTTTTTTATTCATTGTCTTATTTGACCCTGTCTCAATTATAAAAACTGGAATTAGAAGAAAGGGGTAAAGATGCCTAATATACTCTTTCTGCCATGATTTTACTTAATTTGGTAAAACTAAACACACAATACTAAAAATCTGTCACAGTTCTTAAAGAGACACATAACATAATTTTATCCACCATAAACAAATTTTAAAAGTAAACATTAGTAGAAACATGGAAAATGTCCTTGTGAAAATAATAATATTAGTGATATTTTTGTGCAAGAAATTTAACTTAAACATGACATTAATCTTTCAACATTGTATATATAAAATTTTATAATACCCCATGTTTCAGATGTACAAAAATTGATATTTTAAGTATTCATAAAATTGCAAATTTAAAAATATTCCTATAATGTTCATAAGAATAACACTAAAAGGTTGATACTTAATCATTTATGTGATGTCTTCAGTATTTAACACTTAACTACACTTATCAGGCACAATTTCTAACCACTATAATTTAGGCTGTAAGAAGCACTTTATAGTGAGGCCTTACTTGAAACATTATTTTTATAATGCAGGGGGGGACATAGCTCAGTGTGAAGGCCCTGGGGGTAGTGCAAACAAGAAATGAAGACAAACAAAAAATATACAAATAAAAATATGATTATATTTTCTCTACAATTTTGTTTTGCAGAACCCGAATATCAGAATTTAACCTTTAGTTATTTTTTATACAAGTGTACTCCTATGCAAAACTTATGTTTTCAGTATGTTAATACAAATTACAAACTTTAGTATATAGTATTTAACAATTCGGTTCAAGTAATGAAAAATCGTGCACTATTCATTCAACATGAACTTCAGCTACTTTATAAAAATAAACTATATATTTGATATTTGTTTTATGTAAAACATTATTAAATTACATGGAGAAATCATTAAAAGATAAATATTACCTGAGAAGTTAAAAATAGCATTAGTTGGCTTTTAAATTCAAAATAACTACCTGAGAAGTGATACTTTAATATTTCGATGGAATGACACTTGTGGAGACTCACATGTATGTTGTGTTCCTATTAATAAATCCAGTACCTAGAGTGGCTGTTCAAGCTTCACAGGTACTAAATATTTAGAAAAATTTTTACGTGGGAATAACTGTTAAGAACTTCTAGCAAACTTGATTATCAAACAATACAGCACTTTATCATTCATAATGATATAAAACTTAATAATCTAAATGTCAGACGTCTCAAGTATTAAAAGTTGCTTTCTCCCATAAAAAATAAAATAATTACATTATTTTAATAATGCTCTATTTTCTTTAACTACCTCTTCGATTATGAACACCAACTATCCTTGAAAACAAACAAGGGACATGGTATGAACATATATGGCACTATAGGAGTGTGACACTACGATGGTCATCTTATAAGATGTTTTAAAAATCATAAGGGTTATGAATGATTTCCAAATTCACACATGCATTTATAGGTGCATTCTGTCAGGTGCATAATAATTAGAAAAACATACTAATTGCATAAGTGAAAAATGAACAGCAATTCTGAATTCTACATAAAATATTAGAAAAAAATGATATGGTTGTACAGACACGAAAAAAAATCTATACTGTTTCGCTTTCCCTCTCTCAATCTTCTCCTGTTCCCATAAATACTACAGTATAGAATCCCAAGTAATCTGACCTCCACTTTTACATCTGCAAATTAATTCAAGGCCCTGAAACACATGAGCTGTATGTTAAATGGCAGCTCTAACTGACCACAGGTGTTTATATTTAAAGCCTTTAGAAAACCTCACAGACAGGGGTGGTCATCATAGCAGTGAGAGCACCCAACTAAGTACAGGTTGCAAAACTTTTTATGGTTGTTCCATACTTAATTTAATGAGATTTAGAATATAGAGGTGATGTTTTTGTAGATCTTTAAATATCCAAATACCCATGACAGAAATCCAAATAAATGTTTTATAAAGATTGTGTAAATAAAAGGAAAGAAAATACTCTTTAAGATTTTGTGTGTTTCATTCCCCTCACGCACTCCACCACTTTACTCAAGGAAACAAAGTCCTTAAAAATCTAACAGTGGTCTGCCTTTTTGACTAGGATATTCACAACTTGGAAAATTCACACTCAACATTTACCTACCTCCCTCTCTCACAAAACAGAAAATACAACACAGATCTGTGAGCATCTGGTCTAGGAATAATTTCAAAGCAATCTACATTCTGTGATCTAGAGTGGAAGGAAGGCTGAGTGAGAACAGGCAAGGGAGCCAGAGTCAGGCACCAGGCTGACAAACGCCCCAGGGTACAGCAAGAAGAATCTATCATCTTATCCAGTTATGTGCAGCAGCCCAGAGGCAGGCATTTCCGTTAAGTGTGTGCCTTGGAGTCTGACCTCTGGCGGAGCCTGCGTAGGGGTCTGTCTGCCCTTTAGCCCGTGAAGGGACTCACGTGCCGCTGATGCATATGCACCCATTCAAAGAAATCTGTTCACACACGAATCATAGCTCCTAGGGCCGCCGTCCCGGACAGTGCAGACTGAGTGTTCAGGTCAAGGAACATATATAAGGTGAGCCCTGGAGAAGCTGACCCGAGACAAGCTGCCCGCAGCAGGCCGACAGTACACCAGCGAGCGAAGGATCGTCCTCCTCCCCCTCCCGCTTCTGACCCTGTCCCTTACCTTGGTTGTTGGAGAGGTGACTACAGTAGCCCGGCCAAGCTGTCCTCAGAGGCAAAAAGAATCCAAATTGCCAAAGAAATTCTCGGACTTCGCAGCCCCCCATGGCTCTCGCTGGCTCCTCTCTCCTTGTGTGAAAGAAGTGGGAGCGGAGAGGCCAGGTGTTGTGGGGAGGTTGGGGATCCTGGTCCACGTCTTCCTCTTATTCTTCTTTCTCCTCCTCCACCCGGCCTGCAGGGGTGTCCCGGGGCGCCCACCGCGCGAGGCCCCGGGAGCAGGGCACGAGGGTCCAGACTGCCCAGGTGCGGTGGCAGCCGCTTCGAAGCTGCAGCTGCCTGAGGCGCCGGGAACCTCCTGGAGGCTGGAGGCGAGGGGAAAGCACTCACCGCCCTGTCCCCCCCGCGCGAGGACTATTCACTCGGGTCCGGGAGAGCGCACGCGCAGGAGCGAGCTTGGGCTGTGGTGTGGGGGCGGGGCCGAGGGGGCGGGGGCGGCCGATTCTCGGCCGGGATGGGGGCGGGGCCGACCGGGTGGTCTGGCCAGATCGGGCCGCCCGAGCGCCTCTCTGGACTGAGGCGCGCTGTGCGGGGCGGCGCGGCACTGCAGCGGAGCAGAGGCAGGCAGCGAGAACTTTCCTCTGGCCGCTGGGAGGAGAGCCCGGCGGGGGCTGCGGCCGCGCGGCAAAGGGTCCGAGGGAGCTGCGAGCCGAGTGCTCAGCCCTCGCCTGCGCGGCGTTGGCAGCGGCTTGCAAGGCGGGCACCTCGGACTCGGCTGCGCCCGCGCTGCACCCAGGCGGTGCGAGCGGCTCCCCGACGTCTCCGAGGCTGCGCTCAGTCCCTGAAGCACTTAGCCCCCATTTTGCAGCTGCAGCGCTGACCTTGACTCCCCCTCACTTCCCATTTCCGCGCTGGAAGAGGTGCTCTTTGAAACCACCCACCCCAAGTCCAGAGCTCTAGGCGCGCAGCTGGAGAGGGCTCCCGGGGTCCCCAGGGCCCAGGCTCTCGGCCCCCTGCCGGGAGCGCAGGGCTGCAGAAGGACGAGCGCAGCGCAGCTCTACCCGGTCTGGCGCTCTCCGGCTTGGCGGCGCGGCTTGTATCTCTGTTCAGCGCTGGAGGGGTTAGTGGACCGCAAAATTTTTTAAACAATATGAGTATTAAACAATATGAGTACAAAGCACCAAGAAACTTTTCTTTAAATTAGATTAAAAGAATATTATAACAGAAGAAAGAGGGGGAGAAACAGAAGAAAAAAGTTTTAAGTTCATTTCCAAAATTCATTATTATTTACAAACCATAGTACCATATCTGAAATATAAACACGTACTTCAAAATAACAGTAACAATTGACTAAAACTAAATTTCTCTCCTTCCCCCACTATAACTACAGTTCTTTTACTATTCACAATATTTTTTTTTAAATAAGCCAAGGTCAAGCTTGTCATATTAAGTATTTCTTGGATAGCTAGTTGGTAGTCATATGGTAAGGTTTTAAAGAAAAAAAAATCTCAATATAGAAACACATTTCATAGAAAAAGTTTAGAGATGTTTAAACAGTATCAATTATATATCTGAATGCAGTACGGTATCAATTATATATCTGTTTAATAAAACTCATCTCAAAATGTGAATTGGAATATAAAAATCATCACTTTTGACTATAACAAGATTATGTGAATTTGACATACTGTGTTTTCAAAACACGATTGCAAAAGGAATTACTATAACTATTTGAGCATTATTGTGTTATATTTGTTAAACTCTTCTTAGGAACACAATTGTCTTCCCATGAGGAAGAGTTAATGGTTAATTACCTTGTATGAAGAAGAGTTTGTTTCATGATGATTGCATGGTTATTTCATGCGAGCTAGAAACAACTGCAGTTTAAAGAAATATGCAACTTTTTTATTTTCTACCAGTGTTTATATATCTACTGACATGTGACACTTTCAAAATGATAAGCCAGTCAATGAACCAGATGCAATATCCATGTAGATTTATCTGCATTTGTCTGTTTGAATCATACCAATATTCAAAAAAGCAATCATGTCTCATTTGTCACAGCTATATTGTTCAGAATTGTTTTGTATTCTTTCAGACCATTGTTTTTCTTGATAGATGTGGTCCGAATTCAATTAAGAAATGATTAAAATTTTTATTAAGTAAATGATATATATGACACAAATCTAATCTACAATTTCATTTACAGTAGAAATAACAGTATCCATACATCTGCGTATAAAATGCTGAAAAGAGGAAAGCCTAAGCCTGCAATTAATTTCTTTGAAGAAACAAAAGAATAATTATAATGTTTAATACTCAGCATGTTTCAAGGCTTGAGAAAACCCTAAGTATATTATTTTGGTAGAAGAGTAAATTAATCCATTTATAGAAGTGATTAGCATGCTCTGAGGTCAAGATAAGAGAAAGGAATACAAGGAATGTTGATCCTCAGGCATGTCAAAACATCAGATTAAAAGATTAGGTTCGTAGTTGAAACAATCCAAATTGCCTAAGCCTTTTTGGTTAATATAAAATTTAGAGACATACTGAGGACAATAATATATACATATAAATAAGTATGTGTATATATATATATATATATATATATATATATATATATGAGTTTTATATGTTTCAGTATCTAAGCAGCTAACTTTCAAAATTCCGTGAAATAATGTATTGTTAATTTGAGGCTCTTTGGTTTCAGAAGATACAAAACGAAGAGGAGACACTCTTTGTTTATCTCAGAAATTTTTACACGTGTTACTTTTGGAAGAAAACACCTAAAATAATTCTGCGTATTTTATTTTAGTATATGAAAACTTAAAAATCTTGCACAAAAATGATGCAGCTTGAAATTACATAAGGCATATTACTCCTGATTCTATTGTGATAATTATATATTATTGCTGTCATATGATATATTAGAGTAAAAGAAAAAGTATATGGATATATGCATAATGCACCTATCATGTTTATAAAACATTTGTGTGCAGTTAAGTGAAAACAACCTTTTCAGTACTTTTCTAATTCAGTAACTATTTACCAAGCAAGATTTTCATGTACATTTATGCCACATACTATGCAGAAGTTACAAATATTATTTGCGTTTAGCTCTGATATCTCAGAGGTTTTATCATATTGCAGCGCACAGACACATGGATTGTATTATTCGAATAGAAATGATTCTGTATAGTGCCATCATGAAATTCCAAATTATTAGAGAAGAAGAAAGGAATCAGACTCTTTCCTTCTAAGGCCTGAATCTCTATAGTTACTGCTTTTGTCTGAAGTAAACATGCTTTTGGCATAGGTTGGAGAAGCTACCCTCTGAAGGTTTGTCTATGAACTTTTACAAATGTTAAATCCATGCTAAGGGCTATGCACAGTGTAGTTCAAACTTACATTTTTAGTGAAATTGACTTACATCAATGCATATCAGGTATCCTCAAAAAGTAATTTACCTACAAATACAAAACTTTTCAAAATATATTTAAATTTATTTATGAGTAGCATGTTATTTAGTATCTCTTTCATGTACCAGGATGGCCAACTGTATCAAATAACATTCTTTTCTTTGAATAATAATATCATTAAAGAACATTTTCTAAATATCAATGGAGTATTTTCTAAATAGCAAAGAAGGAAGATATCTTTACAATTTTTTGTATAGTGAAAGATTTCTTATTATTTCCATTATAACAAGTTTCACAGGATTATTGCTATTAATTTCTATTCAACTATTCAAAATAGACAGCTAATCAAAATATACCTTATATTTTATCTTGCATTTTTTCTACATTAAAATAATTTATACCTTATTTCATGAAAAGATAAGGTTAGATTTTTGAAGAACTCTTTGTTATGTCAAATACTTAAATGTTAAATTTATTAACTAATTATGTATTTGAATAAAATTATCATCTAAATATTCTAGTTATTGTGATACTGATAATGCAAGGTATTCTCTTTTGCTACACTAAATCTTTTATGATTTAAACATGCTAGATCTAGAGAAGGAATTCCGAATGCATCTTGTAAATTGGATTTCTTGAGTAAAATTCCTACTTAAAATATTTTAATGTAGTTTATAACAGGTACCTGGTTGTATTTTGGCTCTCACTTCTATATTTTTTACATATTAAATTTATAAATAAAACTATGAATCATGAGAGCCATTTTATTTTATATAAAGTGAACAACAAAAATACAATAAATCCTTGACATGTCCAGTGTGCCTTTGAAGTGAGGAGTTCTGTATCATTTTAATCATAGCATGTTTGCTTTTCTATGGCTATTAAAATGATTTTAAATATCATATTTATTAGACAACAAAAAATTTTGTGGGATTCACTTATACAAGTGCTCATTTGACAACTAGTATATGTTTTCTCATATGCTTCCCTAAATTTGATACAGACACAATTAAAAACTTAAAACATTCAAAAACAAGAAACATTTCTTTTGCATCTCTACCAGGTATTAAAAAATGAGTTATTTAAATAAAAATTGCATTTAATTTTTTGCTCAAGTTTATCATCTCTGTAAGTCTTTTCATAAAATATAATTTAATTCTTGGCCTATTCCAGCAACAAAAGTATCTAATTGTCTCTGTCAATCATTAAATACTTCTATTGAAAACATTTGAATCAATCTGTGAATGTAACTTTACAAATTACTATATGTAAATAATGTATGTTACATCTTGTGCCGAAGCTGAATTTATATGAAAATGATACTTTGCTCCTCAGAGAACTACAGTAAAGTTAGTATACATTAAAGTTAGTATGAGAAGAGTTTTAAAACTCTATTGAAATTTATAGTATTTGGAATTGAATTATGACATCATTGTTATTTTCACAGTTGAAAATAAAATTTCCTAAATTTATGCAATAAAACATAATTGCATGATTGACTTAGGCTGCTACTAATTTAAGGTCAATGTCTATTCTATATTTATTTGAGCCTAATTATTTATACTCTGCCTCAAAAATATAAAAATATAATATACATATTTAGAATTTTTTAGTGTTTCTGCCCAATTCTAAATAATGGAATGTTTCTTGCTCATTGAGATTTTGTTCAGTTTTCAAATAAATATCACTGTAGTATTTATCCCAAACAAATGCTATATGCTAAGTTGATCAAATAATATTTTCTGTTATGTTAGAAATACATCTGAAGCTCTGTTAAATAGAGTCACCACCTATTTCAGACACCTTATGAAGATTTAAGTGTTTCTAGCATGACTCAGAAGCTGACTTTTTAGTTTTAGATTTGTTAGTTTGTTTGTTTTAGTTTTAAATGATATACCCATGTTTAGTAGTAGCAGCTGCCTTAGATTACACTGTCACCACTTTTCAATATTTCCACCTTGATAGCAGGGAAAGAAATTAAACTATTTTAAAACTATCAAGAATACATTGATCACAAATGTATGTAGTACCACTTTCTACAAGAACAGCTAATAATTTGGTTTTTGGTACTGGTGAATCAATCCAGCGCCTTTCCACTAAGTTACAAATTACCACCCTACTCTGTTTCTGAGTTGCCCAGGCTGGGCTGGAGCTTTCTACCTCCTGCCTCAGCCTCACAGCTCATTGAAATTACATGCATGAACTATCACACCCAGCTCAATACAGCTAAATTTTAATATAGAAAATCCATGACACAAAAATATTTAGCACAGCTGTGTTTATAGAGAACAAAAATAAAGCTCACTTCCTATGATAAGTCTGTTATTATGTGTATACACTGCCTTCAAAACTAGCCTGATACAATGTGCTTTTTGCATATTACACTGAGTTGATTAAAAGACAAGAAAAGTATTCACTGTGGTAGAAACTCAACAGTCTTTACAATCTTTAAATATTATTTTAATTATGAAAGACTTACCTAACATGACTAATTTTGAGCACTACCCATTTTTAAAATGCCTCAAGAGCCACTATAGTCCCTGGTCAGCACATTATGTCTACCTCACTGCCCCATGTCCACAAAATTACAGAGAAAGGAAAGACTCAGTAATAGTATATCGATTAGAAAATCAACTTCCTCTTGGGAGATTTGTAAGGAAGTAGAAAGATTTTTTTTATTTAG